ATTTCAAAACTATTATTTTTTATCAACGAGCGCGCGCATGATTGTTAATCCTGAGGATGGCGGGGGGGGGGGGGGGCGATGCCGGCTTGGCTGAGATGACACGACTTCATATTTAGGATGAAGGGTGGGGCAGAACACACATACACACACACATAAACTGCACATCCCCCGGGGGGGATAAGTCCGGCCTGCGGAGGGTCGTGGAGTCTATTCTATTTTTAGAACAGAGAATACATGTGGCGCACTTGCTTTAAACAAACGAGTTGACACATCCCATGCCCCTGCAAACATCCCATCCACCCACCCGCAATTCGGGTTGCAAAATCCACGCGGTTGCGATTGAGATGAGTGCTTGGCGTTGGCCCGTGCATCTCCGCGGCCGCGCCAACCCAAGCACCCGCGCGCAGCTGCCAGCTAGTCTGGCGCGACCGACGCGGCCGCGGCGGCGCTGAACGCCGGGCAGATCCCAGCGGGCACTTGAGCGCGAGACGGCGACTTGGGCGGGCGCGGCATCATGGCAAAAACGTCAACGGTAGACGCGACGATGCCAGTAGCGATGCTGGCGACGATGTCGACAACGACGATGGCGCGGCCAGCGACGGCACCGATGCTGATCACGCCGACGACGGCGACGGCGCCCTCGCGTCGGCGACGAAGGTCTTGGAGTGACTTCGACATGCGCGCGCGGCCAACGCGCGAGAGTGACCTGCATGGCATCATCTGCCGCGGATCGTGCACCCCCAGCACGCGCACAAGGGCGCGCGAATGACTTCGGCATGCGGCGCCAGAGGCCCGCGAGTGAAAGCTGCGTTTGAGAACTGATGCTGCGAAACAGGTGTTTGAAATATGGTTTGGACGCTTGGTTTCGAAATCATTACGAAACCAACGGTTTGTGACGAATTTCAGCATTCGCGCGCGACGACACGCGCACGCGCACTTCGCCCCATCTGTTGCAAAGGATCCTGGCGACGGCACGCGCGCGACGGCGCTCGAACGATTTCGACGCGCGCGCGAAGCCCGTTTGGTAGTATTTCTGCAAATGTTGCAGCACAATTGGTTTTCTTCACAAATCCCAAGAGCGCACGCGCCAGCCTTGCGTGAAAATCATTTGCAAAACCATGTATTGTTATGTGCTGTTTGGACATTGTTTTTGAAAGCCCAGGAAAACCTACGACGTTCATGAAGGATCTCGGCACGCGCGCGCAACGACGCGCGCGCGTGTACTTCGTGCCATTATGTTGCAAGGGATGTCTGCAATCTTTTGACTTTTGCTAGGCGGGCGCACGCGCACTTGATTTGTGTCAAGGGATGGCGGGGGGGGGGGGGGGGGGGGTGGGGGGGGGGGGGTGGGGGGAAAGCGGCTCGGCTGGGATGGCACGAACATCTAGGATGGAAGATGGGGCAGGATCATGCGCAAATTGCAACGCGAAAAGGTGAACCGATAATCCCGGGGGGTATATTCTATTTCCTTGCAAGGAGGGAAAATCTACGCGGTGCAACCTGTGCAACGCAGTCTTTGCGGCGCAATCTGCGCGGTGCAAACTACGTGGCGCAATTGATCATTACACACGAGTCAAAACATTCCATGCTCTCGCAGACATTCCACCCACCCACCCGCAACTTGGCTTGCGCGCGAAACCCACGCGGCAGCGATTGCGATGAGTGCCCAGCGTTGGCCGGTGCATCTCTGCGGCAGCGCCAACCCAGGCACGCGCGCGCAGCGGCCAGCTAGTTTCCGACGCGGCCGCGCTTGCGCTGACCGCTGGACACATCCCAGCGGGCGCGTCGGCGACTTGGGCGGGCGCGGCGCCATGGCAGCGCCAGCAACGGTAGACGCGATAATAATAATAATAATAATAATCATAATAATAATCATAATCATAAAAATAATAATAATAATAATAATCATACTAATAATAATAATAATAACAATAATAATAATAGTAATAATAATAATAATAATAATAATAGCGATGCTGGTGGCGACTTTGACAACGACTACGGCGCGGCCACCGACGGCGCCGACGCTGATCACGCTGACGGCGACGACGGCGGCCCCGCATCGGCCACGAGGGTTTTGGGAACAGCTCGACATGCGCGCGCGGCCACCCCGCGCGAGAGTAGTCCGACAGACAGATATTATCTGACACGGATCGCGCCCCCCCCCACACCCCCAGCACGCGCGCAAGTGCGCGCGGATGATTCCGGCATGCGGCGCGAGAGGCCCGTTTGGCACAACGTCGTGAAAATGTTGGGAAACCGCTGGTTTTCTTGAGATGTCGCAAAAGCGCAAAAGCGTGGGCGCAAGCTTTTTCCGAAAACGGGCGTTACCAAACCATGTGTTCTTCATGGTTTCGCAACACTCGGTTTTGAAATCCTTATGAAACCAAAGTTGGCCGGACGGATTCCGGCGCGCGCGCGACGACGCGCGCGCGCGCACTTCGCCCCATCTGTCGCAGAGGATCCTCGCGACAGCGCGCGCGCAAGGGCGTTCGAACGAATTCGACATGCGCGCGCGAAGCCCTCTGGCAACATTTCATTGTAAAACGTTGAAGTACATATTGTTGTCTCACTCATTTGCAAGAGAACGCGCGCATGTTTTTCTTATGTTTGCGAATCCGCGTTGCGAAACCACGCGCTTGCCATATGTGTTTTGGACACTCGGTTTTGAAATCCTTACGAAACCTACCAGGCATTTGAAGGATGTCGGCATGCGCGCACGACGACGCGCGCGCGTGTACGTCGTACTTTTCTGTTGCAAGGGATTCTTGAAAAACTGCTGAAAATTGATATACGAGCGCGCGCGCGCAATTGATTTGTTGGAGAGCATGGCGGGGGGGGGGGGGCGATGCCGGCCAACTCGGCTGGGATTGTACGAAATCATATTTAGGATGGACTATGCGGCAGAATGATATGAGCATTGTAATGAACAAAAAGGGGGCTAATAATCCGAGGGGGGGGGGGGGAGACTCTATTTTCCTGTAAGAAGGGAGACTTCACCCTGCCGAGTTTGAAATTGTCGACTCCACTGCTCGCGCAATCATCCCACCCACCCACCCGCAACTTGGCTCGCAAAACCCACGCGGAGGCGATTGCCATGAGTGCTTGGTGTTGGCTTGTTCATCTCTGCGGCCGCGCTAGTCCGCGCACGTTCGCGCTCGCAGCGGCCAGCTAGTTCGGCACGACCGACACGAACACGGTATCATGGCGACGTCGAAAACGGTAGAACGATGATGAGAATGGCGATGTTGGTGACGATGTTGACAAAGACGATGACACGGCCAGTGACGACGCCGATGCTGATCGCGCCGACGACGATGACGGCGTCCTCGCGTCGGTGTGGAAGGAGTTAGACATGCGCGCGCGGCCGTCGCGCGAGAGTGGCTCGCATGGTATTATTTGAAACGAATCGGGCCACCCCAGCACGCGCGCAAGGGCGCGCGGATGTCTTCGGCATGCGGCGCAAGAGGCCCGTTTGGCAGCTTCGAATGAAAATGTTGAAAAACCGCTGGTTCTTACGACTTCGCAAGAACGCAACCGCAGGTTGTTTGAAAATTGGCGTTGCGAAGCCATGTTCTTTTCATATGGTTCTGGGACATTCGGATTTGAAATCCTAACGAAACCTCCGTTTGTTTGGCGGATTTCAGCATGCGCGCGCGACGACGCGCGCGTGCGCCCGTCGTCCCGTTTGTTACAAAGGATTATTGCGACAGCACGCGCGCAAGGGCGTTCGAACGATTTCGACATGCACGCGCGAAACCCCGTTTGGAAGCTTCTTTTTTTATATTTTAAAAAATGAAAGACCGACGGTTGTCTTTACAATTCGCTAGAGCGCGCGCGCAAGTTTTTTGTTTTAATCCACGTTGCGAAGCCATGCGTTCTATATGTGTGTTCGGACACTCGGTTTTGAAATCCCTACGAAAACAAATTCCCCAATCAGTGCTTGCATTGAAGGGGTCCTAGCGGAAATTGAAAGATTGGGCAAGAAGTTTCGGGCCGATTTGGGTAGCAGGCTGGTTTCCGGGGTTCCCGGTTCTGGGTTCCCGGGTTCCCGGTTATTGGTTCCTGGCCAGTTTCGGTGGGTTCTGGGTTCCCGGGCTCCCGGGTCCTCAGTCGATCTGACCAGCGGAAACCATCCACTGATTGGGGTTTTCTCTGGGGCGACGACCCGCGCGTGTGCACTTCGTCACATGTTTTGCCTGGTTTTTGAACACTGGTGGTTTTTGATAAACGAGTGCGCGGGCATGGCATGTTCTGCAAAGGATGGCGGGGAGTGTCGATACCGGTCCCCCTGGGATGGTACGAACTCATATTTAGGGTGGACCATGGCGCAAAATCACCTGCAAATCGACATGCGAAAAAGGGGGGGCAGATACTCCCGGGGGGGGGCATGATCTGTTTTTAGAAAGGAGAGTCTGTGCGACGGCGACGGCGGCGACGAGCGGCAGAGCCCGCAAAAGCCGCCACTCGCCCCGAGCGACGGCGACGGCGGCGACGGGCGGCGCCGCTCGCAAAAGCCGCCGCTCGCCCCGAGCGGCGGCAATCGGCGACGGCGACGGCGGCGGCGGCGACGGGCGGCTCCCCCGCAAGAGCCGCCTCTCACCCCGAAAGGGTTGAGCCAAGTAGGGGCCCCTACAGACGAGGCGTTGACCTAAGGAACCCTAAACGAGGAACGGGGCCCCTATTTCCCGCAAGTTGAACTCCGATTTCGCATCGAAAACCACAGGAAAACCCAAGGCAAGCTGCGGAGCAATCGAGGAACACGGAGCCCCTCCCCAACGAAAAGGGTTCCTTCTTCAGGGCCCCGACGGTAAGTGCAAGCACTGTTTGGGGAAAAAACAGAAACTCTCGGAGGTCCGTGCGGTTTTTTCTGGGATCAGCGCTGGACCCCCTCGGCGCGTAGAGCGCGCTAGGGGCGGCGCCTGAAGCGAGGGGGGCCCAGCGCCGATCGGACCTCCGAAAATGCATGGAGTTGGTATGCCACTATTTCTTCCCCGGTCCTTGTCGCCGCGGTGCACAGACATCTCGCGCTTCGGGATGGACTCCCTCGGGATCTTCAGCTTCCCCCCCTTGTCCTCCGCCGCCTCCTCCAGCAGCACGCGTATCTCCTGGGCGAAGCTGGTGAGCCGCGCGGTCTCCTGCAGCCAGCCCGCCTCGTCCGCGGGAGGCACGGCCTCCGACCTCTCCAGGTGGGCCTGAGGGGCAACGACAGGACGACGACAGGACGAGGACGAGGACGACGACGAGGACGACGACGACGACGACGACGACGACGACGACGACGACGACGACGACGACGACGACGACGGCGACGGCGACGGCGACGGCGACGGCGACGGCGACGACGACGAGCACGCGGACCACGACGACGACGGCGACGACGACGAGCACGCGGACCACGACGACGACGACGACGACGACGACGACGACGACGACGACGACGACGGCGACGACGACCACGAGGACGACGACCACGAGGACCACGAGGACCACGAGGACCACGAGGACCAGGACGAGGACGAGGACGAGAACGAGGAATGAGGGGACTAGCCCAGGGGGGGAAACCTCGGCCCAGAATCGGCGATACGTCGCCGCTGGATCCGCGATGGGCCCCCGATGGCGCATCAGCACGTTCCTGGGCGGTGTGGGCTATAGGGTCCCTACTGGCGATAAGTGGGCGATTTGGGGGTCGAAGCATCCCCCCCTGAGCCCGGCCCCGCCTAACGTTGCCCCGGAGGGCCTCTATCTCGCCCATCAGGTTCGGCAAGCGACTCGGCCTCGGCTTCGGCTTCGGCTCGTTCTCTGACGGCCGCCCGGACCCTGCTGCCCTATCGCTCTTGCGAGGCGCCGCGGCAGAGGGAGGCTCGAGCAGGTCGGGCTGCTTGGCAGTGCCCTGGAAAATCTCGAGCGCCTCGGACTGCGACGCCTCCTCCTTGAAGCCCCTCGGCTCCTCCGGAGCCTCCTCCTCTACAGGAAGAGCAAATGGAAGGCCTTACACTTTCGACGGCCCGCGCGGATTTCTTGGACTTGCGCTGGCTCCCCCTTCCTGGCGCGCGGAGCGCTAGAGGCGGCGCTGGAGGCTTCCTTCGATGGGGCCCAGCGCCGATCCGAGAAGTCTGAACGGAGCTCTCAGAGTTTAGGTTCATGAAGGGGAACTGGGACACACAAATAAATACACACAAATAAAAATATCCCCCATAGTTTCCCATATGTTCTCTTCCCCCCCTGAGTGTATGCGGGCAGGCGGCGTGCCGTCTCAAATGGTCAACGCCCGCAGCGGCACCGACTGCAAGTCCTGTTCAAATGAGCAGGACATGCAGTCGGTCTGTGTACTCATTCATCGCCCGACCCTCCTGAAGAGGGGGGACTTACTCAACATACTATTTCCTCCTTCTCCTCCTCCCCCTCCTCCTCCTCTTCCTCCTCCTCCTCCGTCTCCATTCCTCTTTCTCGTAAATAACTTCTCCCTGTCGCATCCCGAGGCCAGTTGTTAGGGCGCGCCAGGCGTTTGCCTGAGACATCCTCACCACTTACGACTCCGAAGCTTAAAAATTGACCCAGTTTCACAGGTGGAGGGCGGGCCGTTTTCAAAATGTGGCTCTCGCCCTAGCGCGGCGCACCTTCCTTTAAACAAATTGCAAGAGCTTCACGGATTGAGGGCGGGTCGTTCTCAAAATGTGGCTCTCGCCTTAGCGCGGCGCACATTCATTCTCAATGTTTGCAAGAGTTTCACGGATTGAGGGCGGGTCGTGAGATATTCAGGGCTATGCGGGCGCAACAGTTACGTTGATTCTCTGTGTTGAAGTCCTGGGAATGGCGTTCTGGCACGATTCAGGATCAACAAGACGCAACAGTAAGGTTGATCCGTGGCGTTGGAATCCCGAGAACAATGTTTTGGCATGCTTCAGGGTCTTCAAACGGGTGTCTTCCAACGAGGCAGTTCCATCAACGGAAATGAACCGTTGTAGGGGCCTATGAAGAGGGAGCTTGGAGGGAGGGTTTACTCCAACATCTTTGATGACTCTTGGGTTTACACTGGTCCTCCTCCTCCTCCTCCTCCTCCTGCTCCTCCTCTTCCTCCTCCTCCTCCTCCTCCTCGTCCTCCTCCTCCTCCTCCTCCTCCTCATCCTCCTGCTGAGGAAGGGCGAGGACCACGCCGAGGACGCGAAGGACGAGGAAGAGGAGGAGGACGGCACTTGGGACGGCTCTTGGGGGCGGGCGCCGGCCCTTCATCTCCACACAAAGCCCGCGATTCTAAGAAGAAGGGGCTTCTTCTAAAAAGCCTTCCCCCCCTCCCCTTACCCCACTCTGCGCGTGGCTGTATAGTGCCGTCAATCGTATGTAGTATTTTCGCCGGTGTGTTCGTTTCGGGGCTGAGCAGACTCGAGATTTTGCCAAGCCGCGTTTGGAAGCCCAGCTCACGCCAAAGAGGCGGGAGTATCTCCACAAGCTTTGCAGGGCCTTGGGGCCCAAGTAGTGTGTTGCTGTGACGCTTTGCGTTTGATCTGACTCCGCTTCCGATTCCCCTCTCTAGAGGCCTCCTGGATGGGGTCCGAGCAGATGGGGTCGGAGGATCGCGCCGCATCGCCAATACATCCGCGATGCATCAGCGACGTCGGCGGTGCATCGGCGACGCCGGCGCGGGGAAGCACGGCCTCCACATCGGGCCGCGTCGCCGATGCGTCGGCGATGCGGCGCGATCCCCCGACCCCACCTGCTCGGACCCCGTCGGGGAGGCCTAGGCAAAAGTCGGGCGTGTCCCCCTACAGGGGGATTGTGGACGCAAAATAGAAAAAATACCCACAAAAAAATAATATTCCAGAATGCTCCAAATGTACTCCAAAGAGAGTCCCCAGACTACTTTGTTGACCATCCTTGAATATTCCCCCTTAGTAGAGGGACAGGCCCGACTGAAGCCTGGGTTCTCGATCGTCCCCCTACCGGGGGATTTTGGAAGCAAAATAACAAATACCCTTTAAAAAACATCACAAAATGGTCCAAAAATACTCCAACAAGAGTGCCCAGACTATGTTGTTGTGCATCCTTGAACATTCCCCCTTCGTAGAGGGACAGGCCCGACTGTTAAGCCCGGGCTCTCGCTCGCCCCGCTCCTCCGGCGCCGCCGCCGCGGCCGCTGGCCCCTCCGGGGCCTGCGCGGGCCCCGGGCCCGCCGCCGCCTCTTGTGGGCGGGGGTGCGCGGCGGCCTCGGCGCGCCGGCGGCGGTGGGGCCGGTCCGTGGGCTTCGGCCGGCGCCAGAGCTGGTAGAGCTGCCTGGCGGCCGAGGTGCCATCGCTCGTGCGTGTCTTTGTTCCTCGATGTTCAAAAGGGTGCTCCTCGATGGTTCTCGCCGAGAGAAGCATGCACACGTCCGAGCGGTGCCAAGCCGAGCTGCCTGGCGGCCGAGCAGCACACGCCTTGCCGTCGCTCGGGCGTCCACGTCCCCGTGCATCTGTCGGTGTCGTGCCGTGTTTTGTGTTGCTCGATGGTCCAGGATGGCCCTCGATGGTTCTCGCCGAGACAAAATGCACACGTCCGAGCGATGCCAAGACACACCCACACACGCACAGACACACAGACAGACACACACAGACACAAACCAGGGCTGGACCTGAGCAGCGGTGGCTGTCGTTGTCGTGCTGTGTTCGTGGTCCCTCGCTCTGTCTTCAGTCCGCCTCTGCCGCAAAACGAGATGGAAACGAAAAAGGCCCACGAAATCGCCAAAAAACCGTTTAGGTCCAGCCCTGACACACAAAACACACACACACACACACAGGTGAACGCGTCGTGAGAAGAGAAGTCACGGCGGGAGGTTTTTGGGTCGATGCTTTTTCGGCGTGGTGGGGCCCTCGCCGGGCCCCCACAGGCCGTCCAGAGAAACGACTCGGGAGGAGAGGCCGGGCCCGGGGAAGGGGTCGGGACTTCCAGGCACCCCGTGCTGGGAACGTCGGGACACCGCATGTCTGCACACCAGGGAGGCGCAAGGGGCTGGGGGCGCATGTTGTCGGATGGGGTCCCCGCTCGAGCGGGAGCCTCCCCCGGAGGAGTCCGACGACCCGCAACCATACCCATGGCCAGTTCTCCTCCCTGCGATCCCCCCTGTAGGGGTATGGAGGTGTGCTGTTCGTTCCCCAGCTGCCGGCGCTTCAGGGACGCTGACAGCGCCATCGGCTTCAGGGAGGCCTGAGGGGCAACAACAAGCTCCTCCTCCTCCTCCTCCTCCTCCTCCTCCTCCTCCTCCTCCTCCTCCTCCTCCTCCTCCTGGGCGCGACGGGCTCCCGGGGGAAACATCGGCCCAGAATCGGCGATACGTCGCGCACATCTCTGCGATAGGTCCTCGACAGCTAGTCCGCACGTTCTTGGGCAGGGGGGGGGCGATCAGACCCCTATATCGACGAGCAGTGGGCGATTCGGATCGATACACTGCCCCCTGAGCACACTCCCCCACGAATGCGGGATGACGATTTTAAAAAAATGGGAGAAAAGGACGATACAAAAAAAAAAAAAAACGTTTTCTGCTATTTCTGAACAATTTTCTGACTGGAGGAGAACGATTGAAAAAATCGTTTTCCAGCCCGCGGCCGGCTTTTTCTAATCGTCATCCCGGGCGCCGCCGCGTGAACACGACCCCTGGTCATTTATTAATCGTCATCCTCCATTATTATTGCCCCTGGACGCCGACGACGCTGCCGCCACCACGATGTGGGGCAGCTTATCGGGAAGGTGCTCGTGCACTCCTCAGAAGAGCCAAAAAAATGCTCCAGCATGACAACTTTCGGAGGTCTGCGGAGATCCGTTGGAGAAAGCTGGACCACCCCAATTACATGGCGCGCGGAGCGCGCCAGGGGCGGCGCTGGAGGCCCCACTGGGGGGGGGGGCTCAGCACCGATCCGAATAAAACGAGCGGACCTCCGAAGATTGGCTTGCTGGGAACACCACAAGATACCAACACCGCTGCTCCCTGGACCTCTCCCGGGATGCCCTCCGACTGGAGCCTCGAGGCGGACCTGGCCGTGGCGACGAGGGCCCCCCCGGGGAGACCCCCAGAGGAGGCGGAGAACGGGGCCACGGAGCAGCGGCAGCGCTGCCGCCGCAGGGCTCCTGCCCGCGCCGTTTCCTGTGCCTCGACTCCTCCGAGGCCGCCCCCGCCCGCGGCCGCGGCGAGGCCCGCGGGGGGCAGGCCCTGCGCCTCGGGCGGCGGCGGCGCCGAGCTGCCGTGGCCGGCCGTGGCGAAGCCGACGGGGGGCAGGCCCGGCCCCACGGGCCGCGGCAGCCTCACGGACACGCGGGCCGCCGTGCTGCGGCGCCGCTTGTCCTGGGGCAGGAGGAGGAGGAGGAGGAGGAGGAGGAGGAGGAGGAGGAGGCGGAGGACGGAGGACGAATAAGGAGGAGCAGGAGGAGAGGAACGGAGGAGGAGGAGGAGGAGGAGGAGGAGAGGAGGAGGAGGAGGAGGAGGAGGAGGAGGAGGAGGAGGAGGAGGAGGAGGAGGGATGAGGAGAGGAGGAGGAGGATGGGGGGGGGGAAGGAGGAGGAGGAGGAGGAGGAGGACGGAGGGGGAGGCGGAGGAGGAGGAGGAGGAGAAGAAGAAGGGGGGGAAGGAGGAGGAGGAGAAGGAGGAGGAGGCGGAGGAGGAGGACAAGGAGGAGGAGGAGGAGGAGGAGGAGGAGGAGGAGGATGGGCCCAGGCAGATGCGAGTCGGGCACGAGATCGCGGCGGGAGCCTGTGGGCAGTTTTCGGCCTGTGGGGGCCCTCGCTGGGCCTGGTATGATTCCAAAAACGAATCAGGATTTAAACACACAAAAAATGCCCTGGGAAGGGGTCGGGACTTCTAGGGCCCCCCTACGGCTGGACCTGGGACAGAAGAACAGCCTTCAAGAGCATGAAACCCTCCGCCGGCCAAAACACCCCAAGCCATGAGATCACTCGAAGGTACCCTCCCCCTGGGTGCACAAGAGCACGCGACAGACACCAAGAACGTTAGGGTGCCATGCCCGAACTGACCTCGATCTTACACCTCGGTCTGACTGTAAGACGAAGCCAGGACGAGATTAACATCGGGTGAGGACAGAACGAGATTCTCTGAAATCTGGCGGCTTTGGAGGATGTCGCGTGCGCCGCGGCCTTCCCAGAGCGTTCTGGAACGCTCTGAGAGCGTTCCGGAGCGCTCTGGTCGACGATCCTCAGGACGTGTGCTAGCGCCAACGTGTGTTTGCCCATGGAGGCCCTTCAATACGACGAGGGCGATGTAATGATCTACTAGTTGGATTGAACAACGGGGTGAACACACGTTGGGCTAACACGCGTCCTGAGGATCTAAGGGCGCCTAATTTCGCGCTTCGCGCTGCGCGAAGCGCGAAGCGCGAACAACTTCGCGCTCTCGCGCAACCCCCAGGGGAAAAGAGGAGGATGAGAAGGAATCGAAGCCGCACCGCGAAGAAGGAAGCGCGAATAACTTCGGGTCCTCGAGAGAGCCCTTGAGGATCAGCGCTCTGGCATGGGTTAATCCTCGTCCTTGCCCCGCCAGGCTATGATCCCCCCCCCTGAGCGGCGACGCTAGGCGGGGAAGGGCTCGGGGGGGGCCCTCCTCCTCCCCTCTCCTCGTCCTCCTCCTCCTCCGCCTCCTCCTCCTCCTCCTCCTCCTCCTCCTCCTCCTCCTCCTCCTCCTCCCTCCTCCTCCTCCGTCCTCCTCCTCCTGCTCCTCCTCATTCGTCCTCCGTCCTCCTCCTCCTCCTCTCTCTCCTCCTCCTCCTCCTTCGTCGTCCTCCTCCTCATCCTCTCATCTTCCTCCTTCTCCTCCTCCTCCTCCTCCTCCTCCTCCTCTCCTCCTCCTCCTCCTCCTCCTCCTCCTCCTCCTCCTCCTCCTCCTCAAGAGCGCCGCCCTCCGTCCGCGCACCGCCGCTTCGCGCCGTGCTGGTGGTGACCCCTCTCCGGATCTCTCGGCGGCGTGAGCCAGGCTTGGGTCGGGCACGCCCTCCTACAGTTAAGTCGGGCCTGTCCCCCTACAGGGGGATTCTCGACGGAAAAAAAATACCCCCAAAATAATCAAAAAATAATCCAAAAATAGTCTGGGGACTATTTTTCGAGTGTTTTTTTACCTTCTTGGGGTATTTGGGGGGTATGTTTTATTTCTCGTCGGGAATCCCCCTGTAGGGGGACACGCCCGACATAATCCTACAGGCGGATGTTGGAGAAAGAATATATAGAATAGCCAAAATATGATTCCATTCCAAAAGAATCAAAAAGAGGGGAACAAAAAGTGGCATAAACCTAAAAACTCGGAGGTCCGCGCGGATTTCTCGGATCGGCGCTGGGGCTCCCTGGCGGCGCCTCCGGCGCCGCCCCTGGCGCGCTCCGCGCGCCAGGGAGGGGAGTCCAGCGCGGATCCGAGAAATCCGCACGGACTGTTTATGGCACTTTTTTAAGGGGACAACAAACCTACCTCGCTTTTGACCACCCTCGCTTCCAAGAGATACCAAGCGATGCCAAACTACGGCATGTACTGGTCAGGTCGCTTGGCGAGGAGGCGTATGGTGTGACCTGGTTTTGCCTGGAAGCGAAAGCGGGGTAGGTAATTCACGCTCTGATAAAAAAAATAATCGAAAGATCTTCTCCCGACTTCGCGCCGCGCCCGCAGGGCGCGACGGGTGCGAGCACCTTGGCGCCCTCGCGCGCCTTTGGCGCTGCTCCCTTGCCGGGGAGACGCAAGATTTGGCTTAAGTCGGGCGCGTCCCTCGAAAGGAGGGACAATTCAAAAAAAAGAGTCAAAAAATCGTCTGGGGGCGGTGTGTCTGGCATTCGCTGATGCATTTTGAGCCCTTCCTGGCTCTTGTTTTAACTCGTTCTCCACACTCCGCCTGTAGGAGGACACGCCCGACCTAAGATTAGGTCGGGCGTGCCCTCCTACAGGCGGATTTGGGACGAAATCATCAAAGAATAATCCCAAATAGTCCAAGTTAATCCAAAATTCGTCCCCAGACTACTGTTCACTATTTACCTAACAGCGAAAACTTATAGGTTTCTAGTATCTATAGGGTCAAAAGAGAGCATCATGACGCCCCAGGGGGGTCTGGGCGCGATCCGGGGGAGGGTGCCGGGGACTTTTTTTAGCCAACAGTTACACACTTCGTGGTCTTCGAGGTCCCAGAACTCCATTCCCGGGCCACATTCTGAATGCCCGGAGCCAACTGTACGCCACTTCGTGGTCTTCGAGTTCCCAGAACTCCATTCCCGGGCCACATTTTGAATGCCCGGAGCCAACTGTAGGCCACTTCGTGCTCTTCGAGTTCCCAGAACTCCATTCCCGGGCCACATTTTGAATGCCCGGAGCCAACTGTAGGCCACTTCGTGGTCTTCGAGTTCCCAGAACTCCATTCCTGGGCATGATTTTGAATGCCCGGAGCCAACTGTAGGACACTTCGTGTTCTTCGAGTTCCCAGAACTCCATTCCCGGGCCACAGTTTGAATGCTGAGGCAGGCTGATGCTGAGGCTGAGGCAGGCTGAGGATGAGGCAGGCTGAGGCTGAGGCCGAGGCTGAAGGCAGACTGAGGCTGAGGCTGAAGCAGGCTGAGGCGGAGGCTGAGGCAGGCTGAGGCTGAGGCTGAGGCAGGCTGATGCTGAGGCAGGCTGAGGCTGAGGCTGAGGCTGATGCAGGCTGAGGCTGAGGCAGGTTGAGGCTGAGGCCGAGGCTGAAGGCAGACTGAGGCTGAGGCTGAAGCAGGCTGAGGCTGAGGCTGAGGCAGGCTGAGGCTGAGGCTGAGGCAGGCTGAGGCTGAGGCAGGCTGAGGCTGAGGCTGAGGCTGATGCAGGCTGAGGCTGAGGCAGGCTGAGGCTGAGGCCGAGGCTGAAGGCAGACTGAGGCTGAGGCTGAAGCAGGATGAGGCTGAGGCTGAGGCAGGCTGAGGCTGAGGCTGAGGCAGGCTGATGCTGAGGCAGGCTGAGGCTGAGGCTGAGGCTGATGCAGGCTGAGGCTGAGGCAGGCTGAGGCTGAGGCTGAGGCAGGCTGATGCTGAGGCAGGCTGAGGCTGAGGCTGATGCAGGCTGAGGCTGAGGCAGGCTGAGGCTGAGGCCGAGGCTGAAGGCAGACTGATGTTGAGGCTGAAGCAGGCTGAGGCTGAGGCTGAGGCAGGCTGAGGCTGAGGCAGGCTGAGGCTGAGGCTGAGGCTGTGACTGCGACTGCCGTTGCCACTGCGACTGCCATCGCGAATGCGACTACGACTGCGAGAACAGCTGAAATCTACAACAGGATTCTCATCTGAATCTTAAGGAGAATGCTTCCAGATATGCTCCTACACATCGCTGTTAGGCTGCTTTGCCGGGATAATTTTGAATATGCCTCCTGTAAAAGAACCGGCACGACTCAAACGTAAAACTCGGGTACGCGGGACTCGGGTTGGCCTGACGGGGCCATCATGAAAATGACGAGACCCGATCTGAAATCTGACGCGAGATCCCGCTGCAAACCTCCCACGAAAACCGGACCGCCAAACTCCACGACGCGCTCGTCAAAACACGTCGGCAGAGCTGAGTTCCCGCTTACTTAACTGAGCCTTACGTTTCCCCGACCTTGGAGAACAGTGGAGGCCAGTCCACAAGAAACCTTGCACAAGAAATCGAACCCTGAGACCCCAGCACGTCCATTGACTATTGGCGTGGGAACGTCGCGCTTTTTCCACCGCGAAAATATCGAATCCCAAGAATCCCATCGAAACCTCCTATATATATATGTATATATATATACATACATACATATACATACATGGTCCGAGCACGTGGGGTCGGCGCCGACCCCACGTGCTCGGACCCCATGTATATAGGAGGCCTCTGTCAGAAGCCCTCGCGCCCTCTGAGAAGCCCTGCCCGCCCAGACATGTCAGAGTCGTGGCAGAAATCGCGGCGGGCGGTATTTGATACCTTTCGGCCTCTGGGGGGGCCCTTGCCGGGCCCCGGGGACCGTCCAGAAGCGACCCCGGATGAAAAGAGCTGGCCCCGGGGAAGAGGTCGGGACTTCCGGGGGCCCCGCATTGAAAACATCCCAGACATGCGACGTCCTGATTTTTTTCCATGCGGGGCCCTTGGAAGCCCTGGACCTTTCCCCGGGACCAGCTTTCCATCCCGAGTCGCTTTGTTTGAAGGGGCCCTGGGACACATAAATAAATACACACAAATAAAAGGATTCCCAATATTTTCCCACATTTTCGGGGTGTTTGTCTTCCCCC